AAAGATAATTTAAAGTTATTAAATTTTAATAAACTAATAATTTATGTTATATTTATTATTTTTAATTTTATTAATATTTTAAAAATTAAAATTATATTCAATTTAATTTTGAATAATTTTAAATAAGTTTTTCTAATAATTCGTTATTCAAATTTAAACTATTTCGAATTCAAGTTAATTTGGATTGTGTCATTTTAAATTCAAACTAATTTGAATTCTTGTCAATTTAGACTGAAATCAATTTGAGTATAAGTTTAACAAATTTGAGTTATTAACTATTTTTATTTAAATCGAATTCGTTGAGTTGGATAAGCTTTGCGATTCCTTGTTTGCACCCCAAGAGTCGAGTTTGCAACTCAAGGCTTTAATCCCCAATTGGTTAAGAGTTAAGGCAGTATTTTGGGTGTAGTTAATTGCCTGTACAGGATTTAAGTTTTGACCAAGAATACATTCATATGCAAATGAACTTGCAAGAAAAGGGGATATAATACAAGGCCCATCTCTCCAGTCTCCATGCAGCAAACCTAACTGCAAAAACTGTACTTTTAAAGTGCGTTTGGTTCAAGGAAGTTCACAAACTGTTTTCTAAAATTTTGATGATTGGGTATTTATTTTTCATGTTTGGTTTAGAGTAATCGGATTACAAGAGAAAATATTAAATTTTTAATAGTATCCAATATCTCGGAATCAGAAACTTATCTTTCTTTATGATATTTTAAGATTTCACTGAGAAAGTTATCTAACTTTTAAATTTGATCTCAACAAAAAATTTGTCATATATTTGTTATTTTTTTGAAAAATAAATCTGAAACTCAATTTTAAATTCTTTTTTAAAAAAATTACCTTATTATTAATTTAGTTTAATATGTAACAATTAAAGCGTTTATAGGAAAAAAACGCCTTAATTGAAACATTTCTTCCTACAAAAGCCTTATTTGGTGATTTTTTCAAAATCTTTACAAAAATAATCAAGCAATAAATTTCTTTAAATAAATGCCTTATTTGACCTATTCAAATAAGGTATTTCTTTTTTACAAAATGCTTTATTTGATAAATGATCTTTCAAAATTTTTACAAAAGCAAATAATGTATTTCTTTGAACAAATGCCTTATTTGATACTTTTTCTAATATATTTACAAAAACAAATAAGGTGTTTAGCTCTTTAAAATGTCATAATTGATTTTTTTAATATTTTAATATAACAATTATGGCTTGATATCTAGTTAAACACCATAATTGGGTATATTTAATTAAAAAAATTAAAATATTTTTTTTTACTGCTAAAGGTATCATTTGTCATTTGAGTTTTTTTTTATTAAAACAAAATAAAAGATTACCTACAGCTTGTTAAGAAGATTATGATAATTATATAAAAATTAATAAACCAAAATTCTCCCATACCAAATAAGTGAATTTAATTATGAGATGTCCTAAAAATCAAATAAAACCCAGGGTATCAAGCTTTCCTAGGTATCATACTTTCCTTTGGAATCCAAAATTTTGAGAATGAAACGCTCCCATATATTTTGCAATAGTTAGCTATATATATATATATATATATATATAAAGAGATTATAATTTAAAAATAAAAAAAAATTATAAGCATTAGAATTTAAATTTTAAATTTATTAAATGTCGTCTTTTTAAAATGATTATATAAACTAATTAAAATAAATTTTGACCGGATGTATTCTCACTTTTATGTATCTACTTTAATTTCAAGCGAAAAATAATCATTAAAAAATATCCTACCTAAACCCCAATCAAAATATCTAATGTTTTTTTTTGTTAGTATGAAGTTGTATAATCTATCCTACCTCAAACACCAAATCCAAAATTCAATTCATCTTATTTAAAAAAGGGGAGATCCAATCTTCTCTCTATTGCGGTTGGAAATTTTTTTTTGAGTTGAAAGATTAAAGGAATATTTGACGTATAAACTAATAAATAGTAGAGGCAAGGCAGAAATATAGGAAAGAAAAGCCAAATAGTAATTTCAATGGATAAGGTGAGGTTAAGTATTTTTTTTGGTGAAATTGAAAACAATAGAGTAAAAAGAATTTTGGAGGGCTGGCCCTGCTTGTACCTCTGGCTATAACTAGGGCTGTAAACGAGCCGAGTCGAGTCGAGTAGTGAGAAGTTCGAGCTCGAGCTCGACTCACAACTCGGGACTCGATACTCGACTCGAACTCGATCGAGTTTTATTTTTCAAGCTCGAGCTCGATTCGTGATCGAATTCGAGCTACTCGAGCTCGCTCGATTAAGCTCGATTAATATGTAAAAATAAGCTCGATTTGTATACTCGACAAGAGTTCGATTATTCATGCTCGAACTCGGATTTGAAATATTTTTTTAATTAAAAAAAATAAAAATATATTTAAATATAAAAGCTCGATTAGGCTCGCGAGCTACTCGAGTCAGATATAAGAATACTCGAATTCGGCTCGATCGATAAGTCGAGCTACTCGAGCTCGAGCTCGACTCGACAATAATCGAATCGAATTCGAGTTTTTTTCGAATCGAACCTAAGTAACTTGTGAGTACTAATGTATCATTTACACCCCTAACTATAACCCCGGTGGATATTATAAGTTGATTATCGTCATATTCTATGTTTAGTGTACACATTTAAAAAATGATTGGATTGCAGAGACCGCTAATAATCTTCTAAATAAAGGATGATTTTGTTTGGCCAATCATGATGATTCAATCTTCATCAAAAGGACAATTATTTTCAATTCCATGATATCAGATAATAAATACTTGTATATTACTTATTTAACCCTCAAACTTACATTAATATTTGGTTTAATTGTTTAACCCAAATTAATTTTTTCTCTCTCTCTCTCTCTCTTTCTTTTTTTAGTTTTGTCTTTTTATTTCTTTATTTTTTCACTCTATTTCTTTATTTCTTTCTTTCCCTCGTTTTCTTTATTTTCTTTTCTACCTTCTTTTCTTTCTTCCTTTCTTTTTTTTTTTTTTTTAATTTTCACTCCTTTTATTTTTTATTTGAATAAAGAAAACTTCTAGTTTTGATTAAAATTATTTTTTTTTATTTTTTCTAAAAATTAATTAATTATTTTTTTGGAAATAATCATTTTTAAATTCAATTTTTTTAAAAAAATAATTTAACTTTTAACCATAAAAATATTATAAATTCTATATTTTAGTCAATATATTTCGAATTATTAAATCAAACTAGAAAATTTTCCTCTCAACTTTTATTTTTCATTTTTTTAATTTTTATCTTCTCTCTTTTTTTGTTTCCTTTTTTTTTTTACCTGTTGTCCACGGGAAAAGAAAAAATGATGAGAGAAAGAAAAAATAAAAAAGGATAACAGATCAATTATATATATTTTTATTTCTTTGAAATAATCAACTTATATTTAAAAAACCAATTTTAAAACATAAATTTAGCTCTCAATCATATAAATTATTTTAAATTTAAAATATACAAAGAAAGGAAAAATAAAAAAGAAAGAAAATAAAAGTAAAAATTATAGAAAAATATATTTGATAAAAATTAAATTTTCTAAAAAAATCACATTTTTTTGAATGAATAGTTTAATTTTTTAAAACAATTGATTATTTTAAAAGAAAAATAATTTTTATAAAAAATTTACTCTTAACTGTAGAACTTATCACAAAATATATATTTTTAGTTAAAAGTCTTTGATTTATATTTATAACAAAAAAATATTTTTAAATTACATTTACTTTAAAGAAAAATAATTTGAATTAATAGAAATATCATTTTATCCTAATTTTAATCTAACATATAATGAATATGGTGAAATTCACAGTCTTCTTATCAAATTTTTAATTTTTACATACATCAAATACAAAATAAAATAACATAATTTAACCAATATCAACCATAATCCAAGATGTCACAAACCAATGCAAAATTTTATCCGAAGAGTATTATTTCCAGAAGGTTCGAACGGGTTGTTTCTATACAAGCAACCTATAAGTTGAACTAGGGTTTATGTTTTGGTTTTAGTATCACTTTTCTCCATAAAAGATACTAATTGGAGTACCCAATTTTTTCAAAATTCAAGACTTCCCTTTAGTAGAAGTAGGTTTGTGATTAGAGAATTATGAAAAAAAAAGAAAATTATCTTAGTGTTTATTTAAATGGATAATAAGATTAGTTTCGATAAAATTTTAAAAATTAATAATAAAATTAATTATTATAATGTGATGTTTGATATTATAATGATAAGATTAAAGTTATTGATGAGAATATGATTTGAATGTAATCATAATAATAATGAGATTGAATTGATATAAAAATAAAACAGTAATTCTATAATTAAAATAATAAATATATTAAAATATAATTTTTTTTAAAATTATGAGTTATTCAATTTAAATGTTAAAATATTAAAATTTAATTTATTTAATAAGTTAAATTATTCGAATTCAATTGATCAACTCAATTTTAAATTTTATTCAAACAAAATTTAAATAATTTATTATTATTGATGTATCATTTACATCATTAATCATGATACAATTGGAAGAAAACGCCCCTTTGAATTCCATGACACTCCGATGACATGAAATCCAATGGGACAGAAACGAAGGGAGAGACAAAGCAGAGTAATAAATACAACAAATGCAGGTTTGATAACTAAACTCAATGTGCCAATTATAATGACTAATGCGGGCCAAGTGCAAAGAGTCAAGTTTTCCCCTACGACCCTTTACTTTCTTGTCCTAAAGTTAGAAATTCAATTTTGTCCTATGTGGGAGCCACCTAGTTACTTTCTTATCCTAAAGTTAGAAATTCGAGCAGCCAGAGCAGAACCCTATTATTTCCTATTAAAGGTGGAGCAACGAACAGAGCATGACACATAAATGGCCAATGGCAGCTGTTCCCACAGAGAAGATAGAAAGTTCCCAAAACAACAAAAGGAAGGTTTCTTCTTTGAATTGGTTAGACTATGCAAGCATGCATTAACAAGGAGAGAGAGAGAGAGAGAGGGATACATACCAGGGGTACAGTGCCAAGCGTGAGGCCTATCAGGGCAAAAGCACTTGAAATGGTATGTGCTATAATCAAATCCACAGTTGCCACCACTTGCCTCGCAAATGCTGCAGTTGCTCGCTATCCAATTCAACACAAACCCTCTGTTCACTATACCTTCAACACCTCCCCCTCCATCAATAAAACCCACAGGCGCCACCATCGCTTTATTACAATATTCTGAAGCAAAATTCAGCATGGGATCGTCATTGAACAGTGCCAACGTTGTTTTTGTTTCATTTTCAGCAGCACAACCAACCTTGTACTGTGAAAGTTCCCAAGTCAATTGCAAGGTTTCGTTACAATTGAGGAGGAAAAATATTGCTCTTTGGTTTGGGGGGAGATAAAGCCGGTCTTCAGGAATGGATATATTTCCGATTGAATTGCTGCAAACGTCATCACTGTCAAAAGGAACAGCTTTTGACACGTGAAAAGATTGGTTCTGGTAAAATATATCACGGATGATATAGTCGCCATCAGGCAAGCTAAGAATAGGGTCTGTGTTGTTTCTGCAAGAGATGTTGAATCCCGGATAACCACATCTAGTTTCGTGCTGCTTCTGGATGAAGAATGGGAACTTTATGTTTAGCCTACCACAAGTTCTGGGCACGCTGCAGATTGTGAAGTTTTCGTCCACAGCTAGAGCTTTTCTTGCCAGGAAAAAGTAACTGAAGATAACGAAGTTTAGCACTGGAAACAGGGTTGATTTAAGGTTAAACAAATGGATTTGATTCATTTGGGGATCTTGACATTGAAGAGAGAAATGGTGGAGAAGAAGATAATAGATTACTATGAATATTATTATTATTATATATATAAGAAGGGTACAGTGGGTGAGGAGGGGATTATATTATTTCTGTGGGAGTTGAAGTTTGGCTTCGATTATTGAGTTTGTGTCTGACATTTATTGTAAGAGTTGTCAAAATGATCTGCCTCATATCTTGGACTGTTGAATTTAATAGGGGCCACTATGTGAAAGTTGCACAATTTGACCAACCTAAAGTTTCAACCCTTCTTTGGCTTTTTAACCCATTTGAAATTATCTTTGCAATTTAAAATAATTATGATTTTTATACATAAGAGATTGTAACAAGACTATAAAAAAAATTAATAAATACTTTAGTGTTTGATATAAGGTATTATTTTAAAAATTATGATAATTTACATATAATAATTAAATCATTATATTTGATAAGAACTTGATGATCTTTATGTAGCAGTGATCTTGGATTATCAAGAATAATCAAATTACTATTTTGTAGAATAATCTAATTTCCATATAAAAAGATGAAAAAATTTTATTAATGAGGTGAAATGATATATAAAATTAATAATAGTTAATTTTACTAATTTAATTTGTGAATTAAAAATTTATTATATCTTAAAATTGTCATTATTATTATTATTATTATTATTATTATTATTATAAATTTTTATATTTTCAAACTGTTATTCATTGTAACAAGCTTAAAATAATTTGAATTTTTTATTTTTTTCAATATTTTATAAATAATATATTTTTTATTTTTCTTTTATTATGAATTTAATATATTGGTTTTATTTTTAATTCAAATTTTTTACATAATTTATAACTATAAAAATAGTTTACCTATCAACAAATATATTTATTAATTTAATAATTTAATTATCGAATAAACAAATATTACTAATATTTATAAATTATTATATTTAAACAACCTTAAAATTATTAATTTGTATAACATTACAATATGCATAATTATTTTCATATTTTTAAACAAAATAATGTTTGATTTTTAGTAATACCAAACACATGATCTTTAATTCATAAGAATTAATCACTATTAATAAAATAAAATAATTTCAAATCAAAAGTGTTAAGATCATCTTAGTAATAAGATTACCTTAATAATTATATTACCATAATGATCTTACAAAAAATATCAAACATTGCCTTAAAGTAATTATGACTTTACTAATTATAATTTATAACTCTGGAGTTTCGTGTCGTTGAAGAGGATTTAAGGTGTCTTATTAAGCACAAAGCCATACTTATATGAGGGATAATTCAATTAATAAAGAGAGAAGCTTTATTTATTATCAATTAGAATTTAATTTAAAAAAAATACTTAGGGAATAAAATATTAAATGTATTATGTTGATACAAAAGAACTCATTTTTAAAATCATTTTAAAATAGAATCTAGAAAAAGTCTAAAAATATTTTTTAAAGAAAAAATTATTGCACATAACATAGCAAGAAAAATCTTGTTCCCAACTCAAGTTGTTACTTATTAAAGGTCCATTTGAATGAATGATAAAATTAATTTTGATGAAATTGAAACTAGCGGTGAAAGTGATATTGGTTACTATAGTAGTAAGATTAAAATCAATGATGGGATATGTGTTTGAATATAAAAGCAGCGGTAATGATAACATGAATTGTAGTAAGAAAAGAAAATAGCTATTAAAAACATTAGACTAAAAATTATATATAATAAAAATTTTAAATTATTTAACATTTATAAAATTAATAAATTATTAAAAATTAATTAATTATTTTATATTAAATAATAGTTTTGCTAATAAATAATTAAAATTTATTTATTAATTTATTATATAATAATAAAGTTTTTTATTTATTATTTCATAATTTTTAAATAAAAAATGTAAAAACTAAAATTACAAGGACATTTTTATCTAGATAACTTAACTTGAAGGATAAAAAAGAAAAATAAATAAATAAATAAAAAACCAATTTATCAGTGGACATAAATACTACAATAGACAATTTGCAAAACTTCAACTACACCTATAATTCATTTGGATCTCACTTATTGACAAAAAATTACATGTTAATTGGTAATTGCACTTCTACTAGAGATATGTTAGCACTAAAATAGGGCCTAATAAATGTGATTTTTTGTACTATTTCATTTCATTCATTGTTCTCTAAGAAGCAGAGAACTCATTTGTTTAGTTTTCTTTAGTTTCATAGCAGCAAAAAGTAGGAAAATGTACATATAATATATGGGTAAACCCTTAGATTCATCACTCATGAATTGATTTAATTATGATTGCATTGAATGCAAATTATGCAGATGTTGAGCTGGAGAGGGTAGGTAGGGATCACGATCCTTTAAAAATTTTTTACCCCTTGTTATACAGTGATCAATCTCATTTAATTATTACTTTGATTCCTCTTTTCTTTTAAAATTATTGTACGACCCCTCTTTCATCAATTTTTTGCCTTCATTTTGAAATTATGTAATGATTATCACATTGAATGTAAATTATGTAATATTATAGTATTGAAAGAAATTATGTGAATTTTTTCATAATTTGCACTTACAATATTTACTTTGGGTTGTTTAAATATTTCATCTATGAGAGAAAAAAGTACAAGGTTGTAAACAAAAATAATTTATGGATATTTTAATTTCTTGATAACTTGAATTTTTTTTTAGTCTCCTTAATGTGTTGTTGAGTAGAATAATTTGGACCTTTAATTACAAAGGAAATGACTTCAAGACGTATTGCAAATGCCATTTTTTTTAAGATTTATTTTGGCCTAACTAATTATAGTATGCAAAAAGAGTGAACAGAAATGCTTCAAAGATTCAATGAAGCCTTATTTGTTCTTACTTTACACTAGTAAAACAAGCCATTAAACAAACTATTTGGCAAGAATGGAAATACCTTGTCTTTAATAAGGTTTTTTGCAACAAATAATGCTAAAGAAACTTGCTTTTAAATTAGAAAGGAATGGGAGAAAGGAAGAGAGTTTTTTGACTTTCAAAATTATGAATTGTGTTGTAGAAATGAACTTACATAAATCTCTATTTATAAAGATTAAACGTAAGGTTGTAACTCTTTGATTATATTACTTAGATTACTTCAATTGATTAAAAAGATGTCTTTATAAAAGATTACATGTATATTAGTTCATTTGAATAGTTAAACTTTTCACACAAAGAGAAATCATTATTCATGTTTTTGAAAATTTTAACTTTTCACGCAGAGCAATCAACTCGACCTAAAAAGTAGTCGACTACCCATTTTTATTTTCCAAAATGCTTTTTGAAATAAAGCAGAAGAGTCATCTTTATAGCAAGTAACTCCTTTCATCTTACAAAATGCATTCGACACATGGGCAGTTGATTACTTCATATAGCAATTAACTCCTCTCAATTCCAAAAAGGCTCCACTAATAGCCACATATAAAGTAGTTGATTCCTTTTTTAATAGTAGTTGACTGCTATGTCCTAAATCAATTTCCAAAAAACTCTTAAAAAATTGAGAATTGAATTCATTAGGATTAGGAATCGATTTCCACTCATTTCTCGTTATAGTAGTTGGTTGATATAGGCTAATAGTCGGTTGCTATTTTATACAAAAATTATTTTTAGCTTTTATTTGTCAAAATAATCAACTCCATGCCTTTGATAGTTGACTGATCTTCTTGAAAGCTTAAGGCAGTCGCTCCTATAAATACAGTAGTTAACTGTCTCTATAAGCAACATTTTTAATATGATTCTTTTAAGTCTAAAATCATGTCTTTAATCTTTGAAACTTTATCTTAAACCATCTTATAGCTTAATTTGATTTCTCTTTGATTAAGTTATTACTTAATCATATTTTCATATTTTGAAAATATTTTCTAACATTTTCCCACATATTTTCAAAATAAGGCTAAGTTTCGATACTTTCAAAAATCTAATATATGAATAAAGATATCATATAACATGATTTCAAAATCTTTACTTTAATGATAAATTGTTATTGATTTAGTCAAATTGAATGGTGGATCTTAGATTTTTGAACCAGCCAATTTATGTGACTAGTACCAAACATAAATTTATGCTTTGACACAATTTCAATGATCATGTCTCATGTATGTTCATGAGTGTTTTCATATGAAATCCATTAAAAATGTAATCATATAAGCATTCTAACATTAAATTTGCATGTTATGAATTTTTTAAAAGTTAAAACTCAACCCTTCCACATATGGTTTAAATACTTATTTACCTTGGAATGGTTTTAATTTAGATACTTTCAATCACATTCAAATGATGTACTTTACTCATTAAAATTTTAAGACTTAATGTGCAATTAAGCGTTAAGTTGAGGTTCCATCATATGTAACTTAATATATGAAATTTAGTCCTATCTCTATGGAAACTTTAGACACTATATCTCTTTTGAGTCTTTTTGTCAATGAATTAGCCAAATTTTCACTTGATTTGATAAAATCACTGGTGATCACCCTATCTTTTATGGGTTGTTTGATATAGCTATATCTTAGTCTTAGACTTATATATCTAGACTTTCCATTGTACACTTAGCTATATGCATTTTGCAAGTGTAGCTTGATTATCACAATGGATAGGTATAAGTGAAATTGGTTTTGGCTGTAAAAGAATTTCTAATAGTAACTTCCTTAGCCATTTCACTTCCTTACATGCTAAAGCTATTACCATAATTCAGATGCCATAGTAGAGTCTATTATGGAAGTTTATTTCTTAAAACTCCATGAAACTGTAGCCCTACTAATCATGAAAATCCATCCACTTGTGAAAGAATAATCCTTCATATTAGTTATCTAATTTACGTCAGTGTGTCTTTCTAAAATCGAAGGTTCACCATAATAACAAATACCATAATTCATAATCTTTTTTAATAATTTAAAAACTCTTATAATAGCACTTCAATGCAAATTACTTGGGTTGCTTGTATATTTTCTAAGCTTACTGCACAGGCTATATATGATCTAGTGCAAGTTATTGCATACACTAAACATCTTATAACCTTTGCATATTCAAAGTTGTGCAACTGACATTTCTTTATTTGGAGTTAAC